CCGCAGCAGCAGCAGCAGCAGGAGGGAGCGAGCAGGGGCCGGGGGGCGCGCGCTCGGGAAGCGCGACGGCCGCAGCAGCGGGCGCAGCAGCAACAGTGGCGGCAGCAGCAGCAGCAGCAGCAGCAGCAGCAGCAGCAGCAGGCAGCAGGCCGTGCGCAAGCCTGCGGCCCGGCAGCGCCGTGGGCGAACTGCTGCTGGCAGCAAAAGACACAGGGGGGCTGCTGCTGCTGCTGCAGCGAGGGGACCCTGAGGAGACACCCCAAACGCATGCACCCCACACGCATACACCCCAAACGCATGCACCCCACACGCATACACCCCAAGTGCATGCACCCCACAGAGACACTTTTGAAGTATTTCAAAAGGAGACTTTTGAAAAGCAATTAATTGAAAAGGACACTCCTCAAAAAGAAGGACTTCAGCGCCTCAAGGCCTTTGTGTTTCCCCCCAGAGTCCATTTGCTGCAGCAGGTTGTGGCGGTGAGCAGCAGCAAAAGAGAAAATAAATTGTGACATTTGTGACAATTAAACAATTTAAAACGTTTCACAAGAATTAAAGGACTAGTGAAAGGCAGTAATGAAGGTCACAGGGGCCCAAGTCCAGCAGAAACGCGTGCTGCTGCTGCTGCTGCTGCTGCTGCAACGAGTGCTGCTGCTGCTGCTGCTGCTGCTGCGACGAGTCCTGCTGCTGCTTTTACTATCAGTCCTGCTGCGTTTACTGCTGCTGCTGCTACCACTACCACTACGACTGCTGCTGCTGCCACTACTATTACCACTGCCGCAGCCACTGTTACCGCTGCTGCTGCTGCTGCTGCTGCTGCTGCGGCTGCTGCTGCAGGTGACCATTGGTCTGCCGAGCGGGGGCGAGTTCTCCGTGGTGAATGTGCCCGGAGCAGCAGAAGCTGGGCTGCTGCTGCAGTTCATTAGAGAGACTGTGGGGCGCAGCAGCAGCAAAAGGAGACTGGTGAAGCTGCCCACGGGGGTGACCCCACAAGCCCTGGGGCTGGTTGCTGCTACTGGCTGGGATCCGATCCCAGAGGAGACGCCTGTGTGGCTGCTGCGCTGCGGCGCAGCAGCAGCAGCAGCAGCAGCAGCAGAAGCAGCCGTGGCGGAGGCGGCAGCAGCGGCAACCCACGCAGCAGCAGAACGCGGCCTGCCAGACCCCACAAAAGGGACCCCGGAAGCAGCAGCAGCAGCAGCAGCAGCAGCAGCAGCAGCACAGACACACAGCAGCAGCAAACTAGTTGAAAGGGCCTGCCGGCACAGAGACACGCCGGTGCTGCTGCAGTTCAAGGTGAGGGGATTAAGGAGAAAGTAGAAATAAATAAATTAAAAATAATAATTTAAATTATTTAAGTTATTTAAATTATTCAAATTATTTAAATAAAAGAAATAAAAGGAGACAGACAGACACGCGAGAGATGATCAAGCAGGCCCCTGGGCGGCTTGCTGCTGCGCGCAATCACGCGCAGCTGCAGCAGCAGCAGCAGCAGCAATGAGTAGCATCATCTGCAGCAGCAGCAACTAACAGCACCAACCAGCAGCACAAGCCTTAGCAGCAGCAGCAGCCGCCACAGCACGAGCCGCAACTACCAGCCGCAGCGTCCTTAGCACCAACAGCAGCAGCAGCAGCACCTGCAGCAGCAGCAGCAGACTTTCTGTGTTTGCTGCTGCTGCTGCTGCTGCTGCTGCAGTTCAGGCCTCTGGAAACCCCCGAATTTCTGCTGCGCATGCAGCCGCTGCGGGGCCTCGTGCTGGACTTTGCTGGGGGGGCTGTGAGTCCGGGATTAGTTGAAGAAAGGAAAGAAGATAAATAAAAAAAAAATTAAATTTAAATTTAAACAGATAATTTTCCATTCTTCAAGATTCTTTTTCATTCTCAACTCAAATGAAACTCCCGGAACCACACAGCAGCTTTCGCAGCAACAAAAACCAAAAACAACGCAGCAAAAACGCATCTCACAGCAGCAGCAGCAGCAGCAGCAGCGGCGGACTCAGGTGCATGTGCTGCAAATTGACTCCACTGGACTCAAAGCCACCCCATCTAATGAGCAGCTGCACAACACCTTGAGGGTTCCCCAAGAGGCCCTCAAGACCTTCCTGGGGCCCCGGGGGTCCCTGGGGCCCCGGGGGCCCCTGGGGCCCCGGGGCCCCAGGGTACGGGGGGCCCCTGAGGTATTGGGGGCCCCTGGGATATGGGGGCCCCCTGGGGTATGGGGGCCCCCTGGGGCCCCCCGGGGGCCCCCTTGAACCTCCCTGGGACTCATAAAGGCCCTGTTTGTCGATTTTTGCCGTTGTTTCTGTAGATTTGTTGGGGTCCCCATCAGGCCCCGCTGGCCCCAAGGGGGCCCCGGGGGGGCCCCCTTGGGGCCCCCCCGGGGCCCCTACGTGGCCCTTACCTGGGGCCCCCTTGAGGCCTTCTCTGGGGCCCCTTGAGGCGTCTCAGGGGCCCCCTTGAGGCGTCTCTGAGGCCCCCTTGGGGCCTTCTCTGGGGCCCCCTTGGGGGCCCCGTCGGGGCCCCTTGGGGCCCCCTTGGGGGCCCCCTGGGGGCCCCCAGTGGGTCTTCCTTCTCTTTGAAGTATTTTCTTAGAATACTGGGGCTTGCGTGGTGTATAGACAGCTCGAACCCCCCTATAGCGATGTGTGGCGACCTGGGGGGGCGGAGGGGAGTCAGAATTGGATAAGAAATGATTTAAAATATCTTTTTTAGTTTTTAATGTATTTTAATGTTCAAAAAGATCCTTTTAGTCTTCAATT